TATTGACCAGAAGTAGCAATTCATAAGAGTATTGGCAGCAAAAGATGGAACACATGGTTCTGTATGGAGTAAGTTACAAATGTAGAATTTGTATTAGCGATCAATCTGATTGATTAAACAATGCACAATGATTGACCACTACTGCATACATCCTGTGCACCGTTCTCCATAGGACTAAGTGATATGTCCATCTGAATGAGTGCTTATTCACTGAATTTAAACTATAAAATATGTTTTATGGTTGAGTAGAAGCATCCTTTATGATATGGGTTTATGATTACTACGTAGGCGAAAGAAAAGTGTTCATTTAATTTGCAGTTTTCCTGATATATCACCCCCTTCTGACCATCATTTCCTTCTAATGTGATTTAGATCTGATCTGTTTTGTATTAATCTTCAACAGATCACAAAACATTTGGTTTAGATTAGAAAGAAGGGGCCACTAAAGCACCCAGTAAGCTTTCATATAGATGTTGGAGGGCAGAGAATTACAGAAAGCATTTACAAAATGTTTAAGACGTGCCTGTGCTTAATCTTTCTAATCTCTGAACATCAAGGTGTAAAGAGTATTTCAGGTGGGGCGACTGGTGGCGAGTAACTCTTAAGGCCTGGCTAGTAGCCCAGGACTTGAAATTTTGAGCCCTGTTGTATAGTATTATGATGGAGCAAAATATGTATAAAGAAATTCTTAACAAAGAGACTCCATCCCCAACACTTTGCTGCTGTTGTGTTTTGAAATACACTCATGTAAATAGTGTTGACATATTTCATTCATTTAGCTAGTACGTATTTCATCATCATCTTTCTCTTATTAATAAAAGTGCATATCTGCTCAGGGCAGGCTTCCTGATGGTGTCAATTGCAAAAAATTCCTGCGCAATTAGCTTCAGCACAGACGTTTATAGTCTTCACTGACTTTGCAGTGTGAATTTGCAGGCATTGTCACCCCATAAGAGTATGTGCCAGAACAAGGAACTCCATGGCAGAATAATTTAATGAAGACTGGAGAGTTGAAAACATTTTAAAGGACTTTTGAAATAACAGTAATGATTATTTCACATTTTAGTGATGGAGTTTACATCTTTTAAAGGTAAAAAATATGCAAAGACAATAGCGCTCTAGACTAGAGTTTATGGAGAATCGGGCAGGGCCGAATGAGTCTGCTGTCAGTGCATAAGGTCAAGTAAAATCTCTTGCAGATTTAAGCTCCTAGGGGATGCAGTCTCATAGCTGGGATCCTGGATCAAACATGCCTTGGGCCACCCAAAATGTAATTATACTTTTTGGTGCATATGAGTATTTATTCTGTACTGCTCATATAGGTTGATCCATTTCAGATTGTGAGCACTATGCACGGCCATTTCCATTGTTTCCTAAGCCAGCCAGGTAGATAATCCTGTACAAAATAATACAACACGGCACAAAATCATTTTGTATTTTGTACCTGGTCCCAATTTTCTTTTCTTCATTTTGGACTTCGGTCCAAAATGAAGACCTCCATGAATGTACAGTATGGGTGCAGAGATTACAATGGCAGGTAATAAATGCGGATATGCAGTAGGAAAAACATAAGTAAAAATGTACCCTGAAACCAGACTTATTCTGTAACCTGCAGTAATTTCCAAGCAGTGTCTCGGGTGTTCAGTAGCCTAACTTGAGAGAGTGCATTTTTTTAATAAGCAGATGCTATATCGCTCAAACTTTGGTTCCTTCTTTCTTTCTGGCCTTTGAGAGGATTAAGACAAATTTGATAACCGTGCTCTGGAAGAGTTTTATAAAATTCCCACTGCTGGGCATGAAGAAGGTCACCCTTGTAATTTGAAATTCAGGATATGATTGACCTTGCATGCATTCATCAAGGAAGTGCCTGCTGATTAAAGACAGGCATGCTTTGGACAAAGGGGTCTTTTTGTCTGCAAAGGTAATAAATGAAACTCTGCCAAAAAGTCACAACAGTAGAAATGTAGGAAATCTTTCTTCTTAGGTCAATTAGATTCATATTCAGTGTCATTTAAAAAGTAATATCTGTGTTAATGTGGGCCGTACTGTTGGTGCATGGATTTGAATCTTGTCCAAATGTGGTCCATAGATTAGGCTTCCATGATTACTATTACCCATGGTTTAAAAAAAATCTATCTTTTCTCATAAGGACATAGGTCTTGCTGCCTTCAATCTTTAGAAAATGGTCAGATCTGGAGGGAGGACCTATTGAAAATAAAACTAAAGCAAAGCAAACGGGACAAAACATGCAGTTGAAACATTGCCAATCAAACAAAATGAATCCAGGAATTTAACTGGTCACTGCTTTTTAATAATAAAAAGTTCCCAAAGGGGGTCTCGGAGGTTTAGGGCTAAAGCAAACCTGCACTTTGCTTTTGGCAAACTAGCAGACACCATAAGAAGATGCAAGCACAGAAACGGGTTGTTGTAGAACCTCTGAATCTCAAATAGTTTACAAGGTTACTTTGGAAGCTGTTTCACTTACAGGAACTGTATAAAATAAACAAAGTGTTCCCAAGTAAAGGTCCTGACTAGTCACAGACTAAGAAAATAAGCAGGGAACGAATCAGCAGTAGAAGAAAAAGGACCTCTATTTCCTGAATTCTAGAATATTTGTGGTCATTCATTGCTTGTGCATTTAAGATTTTCATAGGGAATTCAGTCAATATACACAAAAAATCTTCAGAAAACAATAGGTCTAAGCCTTCTATTTAAGTCAACTATTTGAATAGCAGAATTTAAGACCTTTAGAAAAGCGCACACATTATGCAGGTTTGGTGTCAGAGGTTTGACCAGAACAGAAAGGTTTCCCAGCACACTCACCAGCCAGCATGCAAAAAAACTTGTCTAACCACTAAGGTTAAAAACAGAGGTTTTAGATACACGTCTTCTGCAGAATATGTGAAAGCCGCACTGACTCGTCAAGGCACCTCTATGTAGTGCGGTCCTGACTCTAACCTATGAGAGTCCCCATCTTGGAGCACATGTAGCAAAAGATAAAATTGGGTGCAGGTTTGCCAGGAGGTAGCCCAACCCCCTTAAAGGCACAGGGACACACAAGGGAACCCGCACATCACAACAGCAGCTGAGATCCCCAATGTGGTGTTGCATCAAATCAGTCAAGCAAAACGAATGGCAAATGCACTCATCAACTTATCACCAGCTTTAAAGCAAGGTGCACATTGTAAACTTGTCTAACCGCCCTTCCATGTGCACCTTGCTTTATAGCTGGTGATAAGTTGATGAGTGTGTTTGCCATTTGTTTTGGTTTGACAAGAAGTCGCAATTTGCTTATTGAGGCCCTTGGACTCCTGGGTTCTCTGAAGCAGCCAAGAAGACCTTGAGGGGCAAAAAAAGCATCCCCAAGTATCTATCCATCTGCTTTTCACATTGGCTCTACAACTTTCACAGCACAATAGGCGCACCATGTGAGGCCTTGATCAATCCCAGCACCAAGCTTATATGTAATGTGGTGCTAAAGAGGTCTGTCATCATGTCTGAAACCTCCCCCTCTCCCCCTAGACTCATTGAGAATCTTGTGAGGCTTCTGAATAACACAGCAATTACTGGCTTTTTCATGTATAATTTTAATCCTTTTTACTAGTAAATATTTTTATGGATGGGGGGAGCTTACATCATAGACAATTTTCGGAATGGAAATATCTGTAACTGATTTAGTTTTTTTGTAGCCGAGATTGTGACAATGAAATAGCTATGTGAACAAGGATATGATAACTATGCATCTGGCTCTAGTTGCATGATATTAAGTTGGCTGATATTCTCAGTTCACTCTGCACACTGATATGTCCTTACACTTGACAAGCAAACTTGTGTCAGTCATTTACGAACAGAAACCAAAAACAAGCTCAGTCATGAAGGGGTTAATAATGGCGTTTCTTGGTTTATATATGTTGGCTTACATGCTCAAGCTGGCCAACTGTGTCAAAGTAATCCCTCTCTGGCCAGTCCCTACTCTACCAGTAATGGCAATATGCTATAAACTGAAGTCCAACCAATGACAAAGGAACTGGAAAAATGTGCTCCATTCCAAAAAGGATGTTTATGGTCATGTTTATTTATGCGAGAGAAGGATAAGGGTGTGTGAAGGATTAACTGGGAAATTTAGCTATTGATGATGGCAAATTGAATTACCTATTGGCTTCTTTTATCTCTGAGGCTCTTTGAGCTTGATCACATCATCTCCATTGAGCTGTGTTTTTCTGCACATCACTGCACAGGTATGATGTGAACAGGGCACATAAAAAAGAGTTGTTTTCTTTGTGCCCAGTTCACACCATACATGTCTGGTGGTATGCAGAAAAATGGGCATGGTGTGAAAAAGCCTTTTGTGATGGTCCACAGGTATATATTTAAACTGTAACCCCCTATCTTGGAAAGATACTTTTCCTGCTGCAGCAAGAGTTGTATTTTTCCTTCTGCTCAGTTCCCTAAAATTTAAAATCCATGCGATTCCGACAGAGAGAGCCTAGTGATAACTACTTTATGCGGACAGACTTCAGGAATTCAAGCAGTAACTCTGATACTGAAACCTCTTATCTAGTAAAAACTGACCTCACATTTAGGTGCACTGTTCTTTTTTTGTAGTAATAGTAGGGTTAAATGGCACACTTAGGCCTCACGCACACACAACGCAAGAGCAAAATTGTATATTGCGTATTTACGCGCACCGTATGCAATCCCAGAATGCATCATTCTTAATAAGAAGTTTAATGTACGGAGCCTGGATGCATCTCGGTCCATTTTTTGGTGCACCTTATGCAATACGGCTCCATACGCAGCTATGTGTATGGAGCCATTTATTTGCATATGGGAAAATGCACTGCGAGCATCTACACTCACTGTATTGTATGGCAGTGTGAATGAGGCCTTAGTGGCATTCATATTTTAAGAAATGTTTGTTTATTTTATTGAAAATGTTTGTAGTTTGAAATTCTATATTGCAAATGTTTTTACATTTTTTGGGTTTGTTCAATTTGTAGGCTTTATACGACAGAGGGTTCCCAGTTCCAAAACCATACGACTACAACAGACATGCACTTGTTATGGAGCTTATTAATGGCTATCCCTTGTGAGTAATGAACCCTTTTTTTTTTTTTTTCTTTCTTAAATAATTACTGTACCTGTAATGAATTAGAGCTAATTCCCCACCCACCTTCCATGGCCTCCTAATCACATTCTGGAGTCATGTGTTTGTAAATTGTAAAAAAAACTACTTGTCCAAGGACTAAAGCAATAGCCCTGTCCTGATTATAAAAAATTATTTTCTGTTCAAAAAGGTTTTATTAATTTTTAGGCAGATAGACACGTATGTTTGCACACACTTCAAGTGTCAGTCTCAGAATACAACACATGTATTATGTATAATTAAAATTATAATGTCATTAGTCCAGCAAAAGCATGGCTGTACCGCAATCCGCCATTTAGGCTTCATTTACACCAGCAGCTTCACTGCAATGTGTTTTCCCAGACACAGTGCTGATGCACCAATCCTGACACATCACCCTTTTTTTTTTTTTTTCTGGAACTTTATTGAAATGTCAAGTGACATTTCATTAAGTTCTTTAGGCCAAGTGCAGTGTGATGCGATTGTACCACATAGTTGCTGGCTTTACTGAGAAAAGTACAGCATCCACCAGAGTGCCCCCTTACATCAGTTGTTCCCCCTTACATCAGTTGTTCCCCCTTACATCAGTTGTTCCCCCTTACATCAGTTGTTCCCCCTTACATCAGTTGTTCCCGTCAGAGTGCATTAAATACAAAAAAGGGGGGCACACTTTACAAACGCATGAAAACCTGACAGCCTTTCCATTGGCTTTCCCAGCACAGAACATGGCAATCTTAATTTAGCTTGGTGTACTGGTGACCCGACCATAGAGAACAATGGCCATTTTCATCATGCTCTACCGGTTGACATTATTCTTTGAGGCCAGGACAGCACATGTGCCTGTTGACAAAGAGCCACTAGAATGCTGAGCTATGTAAAAAGTGCTGGGACCAGGGCAGTGTGAAGGTCAGGATTGTATCTAAAGTCTGCATTGAATGTGACGAGAGGGAGTTCTATAGTAAACTTTACTTTTGCTCTTCAATGTATTAAAAATTCACAATTTAAAGTACGGCAAGATTTTCTAACACTAGTTCATTAAACCTTCTCTTAAAATGTGTGAGTTTACAAACATTTAAAGTATTCTTGTGGGGAGACATTCTGTATATGGAGGGTGCCATTGCTGACTTTTTGGTCAGAGAGCTAAAAAGTACACAGATCAGCAGTTCTAATGCCACTTGTTTCCTGCTCCACTTTACAGAGTACAAGGACGCATCTGTGTTTTACATTTCGATGTTCATCTACGTCTTGCTGCAGTTTCTGCATCTGCCACATGATGTCACTATAACAGTGTTTTGTCATGGTTTTGATTTACTTGGCGCTTAATATAAAGGTCATATTAGTATGAAGTGTGAAAAAAAATGAAGTGACAATCTGCAAAATGAATATTTAAACAAGGCTCAAAAAAGCCTCCCTTCCACTTGCTGCTGTAAGCAGCGCAGACCAATTTATTAGTAAATGTTTGCCCATTATGCTCATGTTGTATTTCCAGAAACCATATCTCTGCTCTGATTAAATGCATTTAAATAGCAAATAAATCTTTTAAACGAATAAAGGTTGAAGAGTGGCAGGCTAATTAAATCTACTGATTCCTTACCCAGATGTGCCTAGATTGCTTCCAGTGCCTCAGAAAATACTCTGTAATTATATAAAGGAATTTTCCACATGAAATAAATGAGAACCCCCCTTCCTCCATCTCACTGGATCCGTCCCAGAGGAGGATATTTGTCACCAGAAGGCTTACCACCAACCTATTACTCTACATTTACAAATTGTCTGCAAGCAACAGGTAGACACCCTGTGCTGTTTTATCCAGCCGTTTTTGTGAACGGTTGGCTTGCAGCTTTGTTTCCCCGTGAAGTAATAATACAATATAAATATGAAGGCTTCTTAAATCTTAAGGTAACACTAAACTCAGGAGTTAAATCTTAAAAATACATTCAAGTACCTTAACTAACTATTAACAAAAATGTATCTTTGTCTATCACTCGGATGTAGATCCTCAAATCATCTCTGAATTGGTGGTGACACTGTCCTTCCTTCTGGAGGGTGGCTACTTTTGTTCCCCATGGTCCCTGTGTGTGTTGTAAAGTAGTCAATGCGCCAAGGTCACTTCTGTGATAAACTACAATCTCACATATAGTTTACTCATTTTGTATTTAGATTCTAGTCCCTCACAGGAGCGAGCTTGAGAACAAAAGTAGTCACCCTCCAGAAAGGACAGTGTTTGCATAGGAATAATGAATGGGGTCGGGTGGTGGGGGGGGCACAGAGAGCAATAAAAACATTACAGGTTCACGTTTTCCCAGTCCACTAAAAATGCTTTTGTTGTCACTATTCTCAATGAAGACACTTACCATCTTTTCCTTCCAGCCCCCTTTTACTGATGGGTAGCACTCTCCCCCATGAGAACAAAGAGCAATGAAAACCCGAATCCTCTCCACTCTGTCCAAAATAAGGAAAACATTTTGGCTGGAGCAGCACTTTAATTGTAGAATCAGAGCGTCCTAACCTTCTTTCTGTTCTTACCATTAGGTGTCAGATTCGTCAGTTAGATGATCCAGCGTCAATGTACAGCGAGTTAATGGAACTCATTGTCAAGCTTGCTAATCATGGTCTGATCCACGGTGACTTCAACGAGTTTAATATCATGTTGGATGATGAGGACCATGTCACTATGATTGATTTCCCACAAATGGTGTCTACATCTCATGCAAATGCTGAGTGGTAAGTATTATCCTGTTATCACAGTGAATACATATAGTTGCCGTTACCTTTGTCAAATTTGCACTGAGATGTCCTTGACTTGATTGATTTTAAATGGAGCATTTTACGTAATGCTTGAACTAGCGACCGTTTACTGCTACATTATTCATGGCGACATCAGCTACTTACTAATAGCATCATTTTTCTTTTGTCTAGTGAAATCTTGGTGAAAACATACATTTATAGCAGTGCTGCCAAGAATATGCTCAAGTGATTCATCCGCTTCTATTTGAGCTGCAGTAGACCGCTTTAATGTCATCAATGTATCATTGCTGATAAGAGACTAATACAGTTACAGAATAACAGAAAATTTGAGTTGTCTGGAACACATCAAATGTTTCTATATAGTTAGACATGTTTTCTTTTCTTCCTATTTCTTAGGTATTTTGACAGAGATGTGAAATGTATTCGAGATTTCTTCCTGAAGCGATTCAACTATGAAAGTGAACTCTTTCCAACTTTCCAGGATATTCAGTAAGTACAAGCTCTCTCCTATGATTACTTTAGAAATACCCGATAGCCCTAGAAGAAAAGTATAAGTATTTATAGTTTGCTGGCTTACAAGGAGTTCAGCTCAATGAGGTGTGTGCCACTTGCAATGAGGTGTATGTCACCTCCCTGGAGCTCTCTTTTATTTACAATTTATACTTTCACTGAACACTGATAGTATAGCTTTCGATCTTCGCCAGCGCTCCAACAGGAGAGATCTGGCTCCCCTTGCCCAGCAGCCGCACTGCCAGCCCCTTCTCTCCCTAGTCCATTCATAGAACACTTTGGATTTTTTTAATGATTTTGCAGAATATAAAGCATTCTGTGATTGGGCAAGAGGAGGGGTGGGCAAACGACACGACAGCTGCAGGATAGGGGACCCAAAGGTCTGGTGTGTCAGAGTGCTAGAAGTCTAGCATTGGTGCTCAACACATTGTAAATTCTAAATAAAGAGGACTGCTGGAGGGGGCATATACCTCCATTCCTTGTACAACAGCAGATTTTAAATACAATTTCTTCCTGGACTTCTTTAAAGGAAATTATGCTGCTACGTTTAGTATCCAAAGAATGTGACTATTTGAAAGATTGGGACCATGTACATTTTTCTCATACACTGTCCTAAATTGGTGTCCAATCTTCAAGCAAGTAACTATTACAATATTAGACTGACCCATGTGACCTTAATGGGGGAAAAGAAAAATGTTATCCTATTACACACAAAGCTTTTTCTGAAAGGGAAATTGAGAATCTTAAACAGTATAGTATAAACTGCTGAATATTAACCGCTGTACTTGACACCCCACTGGTGCACAGGCCTCTCCTGCTAGTAAACACCACTAATGCAAAATCCCCACAACAAGCAGGTTGCTTAATAGTCACATTTAAATAATAATCCTTGCTATTACCTCCTACTAAAGAGCAAAATTAAAACTGATATGTTATGTGATATGTTTGATCTCATACGTATTCTTATAAGAAAAGTGTAAATGGTATAGATAATTAAGTGTCAAAACTAATTTGTGTCGCAAAAAAAAACCTGAAGTGATATGTTTTGATCAAGTATTTATTTTTATCAGAAAAGTGTAAATAGTGCAGATAATCAGTGTCAAGGCATTGTAAAAAAATGTTCCATTAATTGATATGTTGGTCTCCTCAATATTCCTATAAGAAAAATATAAATAGTGTTAAAAAAGGGTCTATATTTTAGGCCCTCCACATGTGAAGTGCATAATCTCTTGGAGTATGTGAAGTGAGTGATCCTAAAAAATATTGAAAACAGTTTCCATTACATGTTTTATACTTGGGTGATCTAAAGCTTGTCGATTTCAGCTTCCCCCCTCAGGGGTGACAGATCAATAAATAGCGTGCCACCCTGATATTGCTTAGATAATATGTACACATGCATGTTACTTTTAGTGTAATGTTATGGAGTTGATTGATTATTGTAGTGATAGGCTTTGCTGTGAACTACACATTTCATTCTTGGTTTGCTGCATATTAGAAAATGTTCAATTACTCTAGATTCTTGTGCTTTTGCTCCATTGCGATAGATGAGTTTTAACAAATGTTGAAGAGGTTATGGCAACATGATCTTTCTGTATCCTTGTGGTGTTTTTTTTGGCTTTAAAGAAAATACAATAAAAATCTGCAAGAACTTGTAAGGGGTAAATTGTAACCAATTTAAAGAGCCATTCGCCCTACGAATCTGAACATTCGACCTGTGCAAATAGATGCAAAACCTAAAGCTCTTTTTTTTATATATTTTTGTTTCAGGTCAAATGTATGTAGTGTAATACTGCATTATAGCCACTAGATGGAGGTTAGGGCCTTACCAGATGAATACTCTTTTCCAAAGGCAACTAGATGGAGCTGAGGAGCGTACTAAATACGTGTTTCCATTGCTCCTCAGCTCCATCTAGTGGCCAAAATGCAGTATTGCATACATTCGACCTGAAAAGAAAATATATTTAAGAATGTTTGTTTGTTTTTACTTCTATTTGCACAGAATGAGCGTGCAGAAAGATTTGTGGGCTGAATGGCTCTCCATATTGGTTATAAATAGACCCCTAAGTATTCTTAACAGCTGTCTTAATTGGTCTCTTTCTTATTGGTCCCCTTTTAGTAGTTAGTCCAGTGGTCCATCTTGTAACTACTTGAAATGATGTAATCCCATATGACTCGGTGGCATTAGAATACATTACACTGGTTTTATTTGCATCCATCACCGCCACAGATGCACCTCAGTTCACCCTTCAATTTTTTTATTTATATATCAAAAGCTTTACTGATGCAGAAGAATATACAGTGTTGTGAACATCATAGGCTCTTCAAAGGGTGTAATTGTTACATATGAGTGTTTAGGCCTTTACTTTAAGCTGATTGGTCTGCTGGTTTTCCTTTGTAGGAAAGAATGTTCTCTTGATGTAGAGATTGCAGCTAGTGGCTATACCAAAGAAATGCAGGAGGACGACGACCTCTTACAGCCAGAGGGCCCTGATTATGAGAAACTAAAGGTGGACATTACTGAGCCACAAACAGAAGATTTTCAGTTGGAACCTGATGTCCGTGACGATGGTGACAATAGCTTATCTGAAGCCGTACATGGCAATTACATGACAGAATCTGCAGCCACGTCTGAACCTGAATACAGGAATGACAATTGTACAGACTTGTCAGAGTTTCACAGTGCTTTGGCAGAACTGGAAGATGGCAAACCCGACTCCATGACAGAAAACCCAGTCTCTGCCGATGATGATAGCAGACTTGAAAAGTCAAGTTCAGAAGATGTTGAAAGACAAGACAGTGATGTTGAAGCTGAAAATGGAGATCAATGTCCGGATCTTGTAGATCTTTCTGGAACAAATAAAGAATATAGACCATTCAGGTAATGAATGACTACGGCATTGTGATGATTAAATATTCTATAACCAGCTTATAGTGTAAAGCTGGCCATACGCTACAAGATGATTGTACATTCTCCTTTAAATTTACCACAACGATGTAATAATGTAATATGACAAACCTAAAAATTCATTCAAATGGTGTCAAATCAAGCAGGCCCTTGTACTACAGTATTGATGGTAGATCTAAGGGAGACCCTCTGTACAGTTCAATAGATCCACACTGGCTTACAATTCTTCCCGTCTGAGTGCTGCTTTGCAAACAATTACAGTGGACTTGTATCAGCGCAGATTTGTGTACTTATGGTACCTCTGTGTAAAGGTGCATTACATTTTATAAGCTTGCAATTTTTTTTTCCCCCTTTTTTTTTAAATATACCAGTTTATAGATTAGCTTTTTGAGATGATCTACATTACACTGCAATTACCAACCTTTCTTTATAAGCAGCTGTTGTGATTAAAATCTAAGCCACATAGCCGATCATTTTCAGTGGCTCAGACATGAATGGGATTTGTCCTGAGCGGAGTATGAGCTGAAAATGCAACCACTGAGCAGCACTGCAGAGCCTGTATATATTTTTATTTATTACAGGTATTTATAAAGCGCCGACAATTTACACAGCACTTTACATTGCATATTCACATCAGTCCCTACCCTCAAGGAGCTTACAATCTAAGGTCCCTGTCTCACATGCATAGATAGAGGGCCAACTTAGAGAGGAGCCAATGAACCTTCCAGCATGTCTTTTTGGAGTGTGGGAGGAAACCGAGTGCCCAGAGGTAACCCACCAAGCAGAGGGAGAACATGCAAACTCCTTGCAGATAGTGACCCTGGCCGAGATTCAAACCGGGGACCCCCAGTGCTGCAAGGCAGAAGCGCTAACCACTATGCTGCCCATATGTAATGTGTACATATATTACCACACACTACGCATAGCAACCAAGTTTTCTAAAATAAATGCAAGGCTGAATTCACTAAGCTCCAGGACACATTTTATGTGGGGTTTTTTTTTTACATAGCAGTTTCTACCTTCAGTCAATGTGATCATAACGATTTTTATATCTTAGTTAATTGAGCCCCTTGATAATCATTTTAACCTTTTAAGTGTACATCGAGCCAAAAACACTCCAGTAGCAATACAGACAGAAATAAACACACTTTTCTTTAGTATGGTAGGGAAAGGAAAAAGCCTGTCAGATTTTCTATTTGTCTGTGTCACTGTTGTAGTCTCTGCTGACCACTCCAGACTCCGCTAACTTTTTAATTGCTCTTGTTCAACCCGTTGCTTCTGCTGAAAATCCAAATTCATTAACTAGTTTACAAACTAAAATAACATGTTTCCTCACCTCCTGAATGATAGAGAGATTTTGCCTCACTTCCTGTCAAGCTGACAATGGTTCTAACAGAGCTCTGGATGTCTGTGAAAACCAGACAGGGGTTCTAATTCTAATCATTTATTATACAGATGTTTTCTTTGTTTTTATTAGAGATGAAGACAGTTTGCAGCACATCAATGCACATAGAAACAGGACTACAAGTTTAACATCCGTGGCTACAGGCGGGAGCTGTTCCACCATCCCACCAGTAAGTTTTGACCAATCAGCTGTTGTTCTGGCTGTTAGTATATATTGTTATTCACAAGCTCTTTTTTACAAAGGCAAATGGCAAGGAACAGTCATTCAGAGCAACCAACCCGGAATTACTATGCATCCCTCTGAGTAGTCTCTGCTGACCACTCCAGACTCCGCTAACTTTTTAATTGCTCTTGTTCAACCCGTTGCTTCTGCTGAAAATCCAAATTCATTAACTAGTTTACAAACTAAAATAACATGGCGTCCCTAATCAAAATGGATCGGTTCATAGCATATTTGTTTCTTACCTATGGATTTATGTTTTTAATGAGAACACTCCCTGCATTGAGGATATTGCCTGACATTAAATCTTCACTGAATGGATCCAGCAGTTGTCCAGGAGTCATAAATCTTATTAATTGCGAAGCAGTTTTAGGAGTCTCTTTTGGCTTTGGAAGGAAAAATAAAAAAAATTCTGTATTCAAATGCAGCATAATTTATATCAAAAGTAGTCTCAATGATATCATAAATGCAATGCATGTAAGCAGACCTAACACTCAGTAAAGAAAAACTATTGTAGTTTATGTTGTGCTGCAGCTGCACTCCAATAAAATTGCTAAGCAAATACAAATGTTTGTCCGATCTATAGTGAGCATGAGCTGTAGGCCTGAATCTTTTTGAGTGCATCTGCATGTAGCTACTTGCAGGAGAGGTGTACACCTGCCACACATTAAATTCTCTGGTCAACATAGGTGTCAATACTTATCCTCCTCTGACCTCTGGACACATCCCAGGTGATTTAACTAATGTGGATGGGTGCAGCAGTCCACAAAGTGTCTAAGACCTCGTTCACATTGAGCGATTTATCGCGCGGTAATTCCCGCGATATCGCGGCTATTTACCGCGCGATATCGCTCTTCAATGCGTTGCAATGGGGCAAAGGGTCCTGCTGTCGCGGGTCGTGTGTCGCTACAGCAGGACCCTTTTTGGAGCGGATTTTGCCGCGATTCCAGCTTGCTCAATGCAAGCATTTGCGCGATATCGCGCACGGGCAGGGCCCTCCTTACCATCTTGTCTTAAATTGTATTGTGACTGTAATGTCTTCCTTATATTGTAAAGCGCTGTGCAAACTATTGGCGCTATATAAATCCTGTATAATAATAAAATGCAAATCGCGCGATTTGCGAAGTGTGAATGGGGCCTAAAGGTGACCTTAGTCTTGCGATGGTTGTAAAATAATAAAAAAACGTACGATCTGCCCATCTTGGACAAGCAGATCGTACTTGCGATCATCGCAAGCCCGCCCCCCAGAGGGGCGAGCTTGCGATGACCGCAATGCTGATCGGGCAGTGTGCGCGTGCGCACACCGGCCCGTGCGGCATTGATCTTACGATCATGCTAAAAGCCAGCTGAAAATCAAACGATTCTCTGCTGGTTCTCTAGCATGCTCCTTAGACAAGACGTGCGACCGTACAGTAAAAACGGTTGCACGCCTTCCATACACTGTGCAATTATCGTACGATCGCGGGATTTCCACGATAATCGCACAGTGTATGGGCACCTTAAGTAGTAACTGCTTTTACCCCTAAGAACAGATGTGTCCTGGTAGCATCTGTGGATATCGCACCCCAAAGTTTGCAGATGAAGGTTCACCTCAGCTCAAGCACTTCCATACATTTCTTGTGTTACCTGCTGCTTAATGGCCTTCAACAGCAGCAGGAGATAGTGGATGCTAGTGCATTTGTAAAAGTGGTTAGGCTTTACACAGCTAAGAGGGAATCAAGTACTGGTGATCAGATGCAGTTTCCAAATTGTATTTGTTGCAATTTGATCATTCACTTCTAGTCATACTTTTGCATGTATCCTTATTTCATGCATCTAAAATTCCACATTCACTCTTTATTGCAAGATTTTCTCTTTAAAACAAATTGCTGTACATGACCACTAGATGGAGCCAAGTGATCTGTTAATACAGTAAAGTAACCAATGTTATGTGGACTTTTTTTTGGCTTCTGTTTTATCTGAAAATTCAAGCTGTTTTCCTGTACCAGGAAGAGATAGCATGCACTATTGAATTAGGACCAAATAAGATGTTACATATTATATGAAGTTTTATTTTCCTGTTCAGTAATGTGGTTTGATTTATTTGTCTGTTATCAAGCAGGAACAGATAGTGAATATAAAGAGAAGATATTTATGTAGCAAGTGCTTAACTATCAGACTGACCCTAACTGCCTGCCTGACCATTAGTTTTGCAGCAAACTTATAACCTGAATTATGTGACAACTTGAAGTTTTGGAGGTTCCCCCACTTTAAGTGTTGGTGACAGAGGGTACCAGGACAAATAGAGAGGGTTAATTTCCCTAACTGGGAAGGAGTTGTAGCTCTTCACCAGTACTCTGTGGCTTGGTGCAAACTAGGGATGCACGGGTACCAAGTACAATGATATTAGGTGGGAATTTAGTAGAACTCCAGCCAAAACTTTTTTTTTTTTCTTGGGTTGAGCAGAGTGTGGAAGAGCTTGGACCTTTGTCAGCTTTGCATTGCTGTCTGGGTTCCCTTTGGGCAGAATGACTGTCCCAAAGACACAACAGATCTCCCCCAGAGCGAGTCAAAATCCCACCTTTGTCCCCACTGGGAGACTTAATTTCTTTTTGTGAGAGCCCTAAAATTGTGAATTTCTCCATTTTATATTCTGTAACAGTAACAGTAGAGACCATGTCAGAACACAAGGGTGCATTTCACAAACTGGGGCCCACTCTACCGAAAACTGGAAGGAAAAGTATAAGCTGGAGTTGCACTTTAATTACTGAAGGTTGAAAAAAGTGTTAATGAAATGTTTTACGCTAGATATGCACATGCAGTTGGTGAGTATATTCACTTAGATCAAATTGTCTAAGGCAGGCATAGGCAAACGCCGCACTACAGCAGTTGTTGAACTACAAGTTAGACATTTGAAGATTTACAGAGGCATGATGGGATTTGTACTTTCAGCACAGCTGGAGTGCTGAGGTTATCTACCCTGGTCTAAGGTATCTCAAATAACACAATCTTGTATTCATGACTGCCTTCTGGAATTAACTTAAAAATAAAAAAGAACCTTCTATGATCATTTTATGAAAATCTGTGTGTGTGGCCAGCCAGCTTTATTTCTCCACAGTATGAAAAGTTGCCAGGATGCTCCCGCATCTGGTCTGCATGATGGACTGCATTGTAATCTGTGCTCTCTGTGGGGAATTAATAACTCACCATGTTCTCAGAACATTATAAAGTGTAGGAGGAGGTGACACAATGCTCTAGAGCTCCACTGTTTACTGCTCCACACAAATCTCTCCCAGTTTGCCAAGCAACAAGAGAACAAATAGGGTAAATTTAAGGCAAGCAATACGGAGCGAGTGTAGGAGTCACAGCTAGAGCATAGCAGCCAGGAAATCTGAGCCTGTTTACAACAATGTATTCTAGGAAATCTAGTTTGCCGGAAATATGCACTCGGACATGAAAAATTAGAATTTAATTGACAGATTTTTATTTTCATCCTCGTGTTTCTCTTAATCCCCATGGCATGGAATTCTGGCCTTTGCAAAGCCACAGGCCAAATGTTTCAGGTTATGAGCACCACAATCTGTAGTTTTCAGGGAGAGAGGCTGCACAGAATCATGTGATAAGAGCTAAAGATCCTCCTGAGAGAAATGTGCAGAGCCTGTTTATTAGCCAGATAAGATTCTGTGCCCCTCTCTGATTCATGTTCTCATTCCTGGGGCCTGACTTTCACTAAGTGCAGCTGATATGAGGTCAGTTAGAGCACTCTGAATGGGCTGTGAAATGGCAGCTGATCTTGGCCAGCAGATGAGAAACGTACTGAAGCCATTTTGTTAGCATAAAAGGCAGGCAATTAGCATTTTCAAGTCAGCAATATCAGCTACCTCTGTAGCTGCCGGCACTGTGGAGCAATTCATCCTTAAAGTTTACAGGAGAAACAGATGTTCTCCCAACGTGGCTGTCTGAGCAGCTCAGCTTAACCTGCTTTTCACTCCCAGAGCGCTTGTTCTGTGTTTATTTTAGCTATGAAAGTGTTTCTGCTGTTAATTTAGGATGAATTTCTACACGCTACCTGCAGCTATGGAGGTTAGTGGAGAGCTTGTTTTAAAGCTCATTTATTGTTTGTTACAAATACACAACCTGGCCAAAAAAAAGTCACCATCTGGTTGTTTCAGTTGGTCAGGTGTAGATTCAGCAACATTATGTCCCCAAAAAATGGTCAGCTGCCTACCTGGATCAATGGATTTTTTTAGTTCCCGATGGCACGGGCATATTCCAAGATGACAATGTCAGGATTCACCTCCCTCTAATTGGGAAACCGTGAAACATGGATTCACCACGACAGGGTCCAGACTCCGTTGAGAATCTTTGGGATGTGCTGGCTAAGACTTTATGCAGTGGTCTTACTCTCCCATCATCACTACAAGATCTTGGTGAAAAATTAATGCAATTCTGCATGTAACTAAACATGGTGACATTGCATAGGCTTATTGAAGTTGTGTAATCAGAGCTAAAGATGGTCCAACGAAATATTTTTTTTTGTGGCCAGGCAGTGTATATGGATACTTGGATGTTCACAGCCTAGCCACAGGTTCACTTTTATGCACAGTTGCCGTAGCAGTTTGCTGATGGTTTATGTTGGTTTGTCAGAATTCCCTGAAAAGAACCAGTCTCAGATTTCACCTGCGGTGTAACCACTAATATAAACTGAGATTGCATCTCATCCTTTCAGATATAATGGGCCTCTGTGATCACTTATGTCTGACTGAGCTGAGTTTGCAGAAGAAACTAAAACCTTCATGAAGTTGTCTGCTTTATTGATATATTTTTTTTGTGTCTTCTAGGAGCTGGTGAAACAGAAGGTGAAGAGACAGTTAACAAAGCAGCAGAAAGCGTCTATCAGAAGACGACTACAGAAAGGAGAAGCCAATGTGTGCACTAAGCAGCGCAGAGAGAATATGTTTAATATTAAATGCAGTGTGGACGCAGCCAGCTTTTGGGGATAGTTCAAAATAAAAAAAAAATTGAGCTGTAAAAAGACATATTTGTAAACACCAAACTTAAATCTTTGTGTAATTCTTTCTCTTTTTTTACGCTCAGTAGGAAAGAATTCAGGTTTAGAAATATTACATGCCAAATTCATAGAGAGAGAGATGTGTTTACTTCTCCAGTAAAGCTGTTCCCAATTCTTCAGTTGAGTATAGTGGATTTTTTTTATTTCAAAGTTTTTTGCAAATCTGGCATTCTGAGGAAATAGAGCTTTAGGCCCCATTCACATCACTGTGTTGTGGTAATGTTACCTGCGTTGGTGTGCTGCATTACAAATGGCACCCCAGTGCAATGCGTGGGAACCTGTTACTGTGCTAGTAGTGTCTGCAGGTCTGATTTTTGGTCTGTGAAACACACCCTAACGAACAACCATGGGGTGAATAGGCCCTGACAGAACATTGTGAATTTTCTCATCCTTTAGTAAATCAAGCCGTTGATTTACGTAGAAGCTATAAAACATGTTTAAAACAGTGTTTTTATGGCTTATTTTTTTCTGTGTTTCTATATAATCGGTTCTTCAGCTTTACAATACACAACTTTGTTATTTTACCTAACTTTTTTTTTGCCACGAAAATAAGAATGTGAAGGTCAGAGATCTTCTTCAGGAAACTGGAGTTGAGAAACAATAAGGGTGAGAACAATAGCAATTACTTTTCTTTGCAACTAGACTGCTTGTTATGACATGTAGCTTTACGGTTAGATCTCTGCTCCACTATGGTTTGCCTTCCGCACAAAGGGCACTGCTTGATATTGGTAGGAATGACCTTTCATACGGCACCTACCACTTAACACCCTTGGTGTAAGTGGGACTTCATCGCAGTGTTGCAGCACCACGACTCTGGTATATTAATGAAAGGTATTTGGACATTTTCAAGAGTATAGCTTCAGTCCAGAAGAGTTATTGTGAAACTCAGAGCTGTGATATGAGAAACGCTGAAAAAAGATCTTACAACAGCCATTATCAACAGGTACTGTGCGATTGAAATAGTAAGAACAATGACTCCTGTAAGGACACAAGAATGGTTTTTAGTGCCAATACATTTAGAAATGTATAAACACTGTTTTATTAACTAAAATACATTTAAATATGTATATTTCCTATGGATTTTCTTATCCACTTAACCACTTTCACACCATGTCCATTGAGCTGTGTTCTGCACATTATTGCATATGTATGATGTAAACAGGACAAGTAAAATATAGTTGCTTCCCATGTGCCCTGTTCACACCATACATGTGGGTTGTTGTGTAGAAACATGCATCTCACTGGATATGGTATGAACAAGCCTTAAATCTGTCATCAGTAAAACAACAAACAATATATCTACTCTGTGTTTTTAAATAAGAGAACCCGAAACTAATATATCATGGCCAACACGTGAGATCCATTCAAGCAATTTGACACAACCAGTGTGTACGGCTGTGTGCAGTCAGAGAGGCATGAGTGATATCGCAGCAAGCCTAAACTTTATTACACTAAAGAGGATTCAAGAAAAAGTTAAGCAAATGAGGGGGAATATTGTCTGGAACTTAAGTTCTCCTCCAGCTTTTGTTCAGGTTTTCTGAAGATGATGGCTCTTCTTAATAGCTCTGTGGCAGGTGGCGCTGACTTCAATGTTCAATGTTACAGCACTGTAAAGGTCCATGTGACAAAAGAACTTTGACATTTTCAATTAAAACCAGAGTACCAAAAATCCAGACTGGAATTGCCCATAAAGGAATGAAAGCCTATACTTCTGTTTTAAATCTTTAAGAATTTTTGTTGAATAGAATAAAAACTTTTAAACAACTTTACTCTTCAGGGTGATGGAATTTGGCACTCCAGCTGTTCTGTTACATCTCCCAAGAATTGCTGATGAGCATCATGGGAAATGCTTCTATATTGCCAAATGTTGCCCATCCCTGTACTTAAATTATATATTTTTTTAAAGTGATTCGCTGGAATGATAGTATGCATAACCGCTAAGACCCAGATGATAAATCCAGCATTCCAGATGACACATTATGCTGGGAAGTAATAAAGCAGGTCAGAAATGTTAAGCAGGAACACCTAGTTTTGTAATGAGAGAATTTGATGAATTGTGAAAATTACCTCAAACTTGGCAATGAGTTGCATTCAGGGAATACTATACGTTGAAATCAATTAGCGAGTTTGAATGTAGATGTTACAACTGCCCTTTTTGTTAAGAGTTTGTTAGCACTGGCTACAGTTTCAACCCAGTGATGGAACTCCTTGAGACTTTGATCAAGCAGAAGGTAATAGGAAGCATTTAAAATATTTGCAATTAAACAGCCATTATTAATTATATAGACTCTTGGGTGATTGGCATTGTTGGGGTAGTTGGTCACTTAGACTGGAAGAAGACTGTGAATGAAGAATTAGTTGGCGCTGCTAGTAGGAAATACTTATAGTAAAACATGTTCTTTGATGGTTCAGTGGAACAATATCCACAGCAATTTGACAGATTGAAAATAAGTTGTTTCAAGCTGTTTATTTGAACTTTGGAAATGGCTCAGACTCTAGGACTAGACTTGTGTGTGTTCACTTCTCCGATACTGAATTTAGCCTTGAGCATAGAAGCATTTCCTGTGTCCATTGACTTGAGTAATTTGCTTGTATCCGTTTACCATTGCACACTCTGTGCTCCTTGTATGAAAACATTTAGAACAAGCAAGATTTGGTAACACTAACAAACAAGAGCTGTTCCCTACCGGTAAATACAAGATATCCACATAGCTCAGGCACCTTATGAGGAAACTGAAAGCATATCTTAAAGCTGAACTCTAGGCCAGTAGTTCTCAACCTTTGTGATACCAGAGTCGGATCATTTCTTCCAACACCATCCATGCACCAAGTAAGAAAAAAGTTCTAAACTGAAAGTATGGGCATGCAAAATATGTATTGAAGCAATCATTTGAAAATGTGGCCAAGTGTAATTTAAAAATCTTTATTTTATTTTTTAATTCTCATTCTTTTCATTTCTTTCTCTCTCTCTCTCTCTCTCTCTCTCTCTCTCTCTCTCTCTCTTCCTTTTTACACTGCCTTGCAATTCATCCTGGAACTGTAGCCAGTCAGGAATATCTAATACTGTCATTTAACGTCAGCTGATAGGCTCGGATCTTCTAGACAACCAAACACCAGTGACAGAGTAGCAGGGTATCCATCATACAGTGTTTTATGTGGAGAAGGGGGGAGTCTCCCCTAGTCTCTAACTGGTTCAGCTTAAACTCTACAATAACAACAGCTGCTCCTCCCAGAGTGCTGCTTCCACCCTGTTTCCTGCTGCTCATTCTTTCTCATTATGTATTTGAGAGCCCCCAGTGTGGGAAGAGAGCCAGCGCGGGGTTAGAGAAGGCTGCTATGGTTGTAGTTGAACCAGTACCTGGTAGACAAGAAGCCATGGCCCAGTGGTTGAGAACTACTGCACTAGCAAAATTATAAAAAGACAAATAAATTCAGTTCTGTCATTAATATATAATTGCAAATATTTTTAAATGCAAGCAGGGTAAGTACCTAAAGTTGACCTGGAATCAGCCTTTTCCAGAACAGAGCTAGGGGGAGAGAGGAAGAAGCAGCACAAGAAGTCAGTCAGTTTATGTGCTGATGAGAAACATGCTGATAGGAAGAGAAAGCAGATTGACAGATGAGTGAGAGATGAGCTCATCACTGTGCTGATTCCCCTTTCACTGTCCAGTCACAAGCTGGGCAGATCCAGGACAATCTGGCTTCATAGGAAGTGGGTTGAATGATGCCGGTGATCAGACCTAGGATATCTAGCGACAAAAATACTAATAAGAAAAGGGGAATATGCAAAAAAAAAAAAAAGCTGATTTTGTTATTGTATGTCTTAACAGGTTTTATTTTTATATACATATCTTGTTTTTGACTGGAGTTTTGCTTTAACCTGACTGGAGAAGACAGCTGCATTGTGTGACCAAGCTTAATTCTTTAATAAATTATAGAAAAAAAAAATTCTATTCTTTTATAGTACTGGATCCAAATCAGAGATTACAAAAAAAATCTGTATGAGTGTTCTATGCCCACGGTATAGCTTTTTGTTTACTGCATATACATTATAATACCAGTTACATTTGTCATAACAGTGTGCTGAAGAACACAAGACATGTTAAAATTTGATGCAGTTAGATAGTATGGATTTCTTAGCACATTAAAAAGAAACACCTTCCAGAAGTGCTTCAAGAGGGGCAACCTCCATAAACTAGCCTCTGCAGGAGGCTTAGAAGGTCACCCCAGCCTTCTTTTACCTGGCTACAGATTTTAGCATTACCTGGATTCTAAGGTTATGTTTGATTGACCCCGTTTTATGACCACACATATAAGTAGCATCTAATTTTCTATTTCTATACTAACACTATTATTAAGCATCTATATATTAGGTTAATTTTCAGCTGATGGCATAACATATTAAGACAAGTGATAATGTGCACCAATATTGCAGTGCAATGAAGGAAAAATATAGAAAAACATCCCAGTCTGCTTTTATTCCTCTGCAAAATAAAGCCAAATACTCTTTCACTGATTCCAGGCTATTGCTGTTAAATATTTGCATTAAATATATTGGGAAAACTGCATTTCACGCTACACATTTTCCAATATTACTATGTTATAATGCACTTGATAAGCAAATACTGATATCATAAAACACATGGGAACCTATATTATACTGTGATTACTAGTATGGTTGCGTTATGTGTATTCTCTCTTGCCAGTCTACATGATTATGATGTAATTTCCTGTCTCTGTTGCCCTGTTTGTTTCAGTTAAACAAGAAGGGCTCCATCATAAGTCCAGAAACACCCTTAGTTAAGGTGCCCACACACCTTGCGATAATCACGGGAAATTCGTACGATTATCGCAAGCTGTGTGGAAGGCGTGCAACCGTTTTTACTGTACGGTCATACGACTTGTATCTTAGGAACATGTTTGAAAACCCGC